ACAGTTTGATAAGAAGTGTGAGAATACTTACAAGGGGAGATAGATTCAATGTTTGTAATGGCTCAGCCATTCCCAGTCCTTATTCAATCCTCTGCTCATTGTTTCTCGCTTGCATATCAATTCCAGCTCAGCAGTCTCTCGTTGGAGTCTGTTTTTGAAGTTTTTCTGTTGTAATATAGCCACCCGCAGGTCTGTCATTGAATGACCAGACAGGTTAAAGTGTTTTCCCACTGGTTTTTGAGTATTATGATTCCTGATGTCAGATTTGTGTCCATTAATTCTTTTGCGTAGAGACTGTCCGGTTTGGCCAATGTACATGGCAGAGGGGCATTGCTGGCACATGATGGCATATATCACCTTGGTAGATGTGCAGGTGAACGAGCCCCTTCTGGAGCTGGAATTGATATGCAAACTAGACACAATCAACAAAGGACTGAATAAGGACTGGGAATGGCTGAGCCATTACAAACATTGAATCTATCTCCCCTTGTAAGTATTCTCACACTTCTTATCAAACTGTCTGTACTGGGCTATCTTGATTCTCACTTCAAAAGTTTTTTTCCTCTTACTTAATTGGTCTCTCAGGATTGGTAAGACAACTCCCACCTGTTTATGCTCTCTGTATGTGTGTATATATATCTCCTCAATATTTATTCCACTCTGTATGAACCCGAAGAAGTGGGCTGTAGTCCACGAAAGCTTATGCGCTAATAAATTTGTTAGTCTCTAAGGTGCCACAAGTACTCCTGTTCTTTTTGCGGATACAGACTAACACGGCTGCTACTCTGAAACCTGTCATCAGGGAAGGTCACTGATGCCGCAAGACACTCGCCCACCACCTGTAGCGCCCCGGGCAGGGACTTCATGAGAAAGGAGGTGGCGACACTCAAGACGAGAGCAACAAATCACCAACCTTCTTTGGTCATGAAGTGCCTGGAGCCTTCGGAGAGCGGGGCAGGCGGCGCGGGGAGGCCGAGCCCGCCAGGCCCAGCCAAAGCGGCCCCGAAGGAGCCGAGCGGCCGCTGGGTTCAGCATGGCGCCGGCGCGAGCGCTCGGCTCTAGAGACCGTCACCTAGTAGGAAACAGACACCGGATCAGCGAAGGGCCGCGTCTCCCGGGGCCCCGCCCAGGCCGCCCGCTCCCCAGGTCCCGGCACAGACCCCCAACCCCGCGCGCTCACTTTTTGCTAAGAGGGGCCTCAGCCTCCACCACGTCACTGGCCGGAGCAGCCCCGGCCGCCGCCGCCATCTTCCCGGGCCGGTCCGAGAGAGAAGGAGCACTTCCGGGTCAGAGACCATTTGGGTCAGGGCCTGGCGACATCCTGGCTTGTGTGCGCGCGCAGATAGGAAGGGAAGGGAAGGGGCGGGGCGGGATTACGGGTGCGCGCGCGTGCTGGGTGGCGGGAAGCCTCCAAGTGCGAGTTAAGGCGCGTGTCGGCGGCGCCCGGCCATGGCCTCGGAGCGCGCGGGCCCTGCTCGCTCGCGGACGCTGTTCCTGCAGGACGACGGCAGCGCCATGCGCTTCTACGTGCGGCCCGGGCCCGCCAAGCTGCAGCTCGCGCCGCTGATCCTAGCGGGCGGCGGGCGCCTTTGCCGCGTGCAGGAGCCGGGCGCGGTGTTGCTGGCCCAGCCCGACGAGCGGGGGGCCACGGGCAACTTCGTCTCCACCGAGTACGTGCGGTGCTGTGTGGAGAGGAACGAGCGGCTGCCGCTTGAGCACTACCGGCTGGCGGCGGAGCAGGCCCCGGTCCCGGCCGGAGCCCCGGCCGGCCGCTCTGCCTTCACGGGCTCCGAGGACGAGGCCATCCTGCTGCACGTGCGGGACCGGGCGCAGGGCAGCGTCACCGGCACCGCGCTCTGGAAGGAGATGGAGCGGGCCCGGCTGACGCCGCACTCTTGGCAGGCCATGCGAGACCGCTACCTGCGGCACCTGCGGGGCCAGGAGCACAAGTACCTGCTGGGCGGGCCCGGCCCCGCGCCGCCCCGCAGCCTCGCCAGGAGCGCCCGGCAGCCGGCGGATAGCGGTGCGGATAAGCGGGGGCGGCGGGGCGGGGGGTAAAGACTTGCTGGGCTTTGTTCCCAGCTCTGCCGCTGCCCTGTGTAATCTCTCCACCTGCGTGTGCCTGGGGATAAGTGCCACCCACCCACCGTGGCCTGCAAAGCACCTGGGTCACGCCCATGTAGACCAGCATTCATTCAGCCATTGGGATTAGGTGAGCATAGCAGGCACACAGCCATAAACACACCTCAGTGACCTGTATTCATGAAATCCTAGAAACCTGAGCTGCAAAAGCTGCAGGAGATCTAGTGTTTCCTCCAGTATGCTCTTACAGTGTTTGGGGGAGTCTGGCTGGAAATGCCCCAAGCCTGGAGTTGCCCCCACATTCCTTGGAGAAACTGTTCCACAGTCTAATAGGCATATCCAGAAGCTTTTCATTGTAATTTAGGCTGAACGGAATTAAATCATAATGCCATTATATAAATGTAATGGGATGACATCAGCAGGAATCCTTTATTCAATTCTGGTAGATTTGTCTTGAGAAAGAGAGCACAAAGATCAGATGGGCAGTGAAATTAGTGTGGAAAGGTTTTCATGTGAGGAGAGTGAAAACGTGACTATTTAGAGAGGAGTTGAGTAGGAAGGTACAATAGATATTTAGACAAAATAAGTGGTGTAGGAAAATTAGCATTACCCTGTTTATTTTTACTATCTCATAATACAAGGAAACGAAAGATGGCAAATTTAAAATTGATCAAAGGAAATATTTACCCCAACAGTTAAGCTGTTAATTCATTGCCACAAGATACTGAGATTGGTCTACATTAGGAATTTAGGTCAGTGTAACAGTGTCTGTCAGGGGTATGGATGTAGTTATACCAACCTAACTCCCAGCATAGACAGTGGGATGTCAACAGGAGGTTTTCTCCTGTCGACATAACTACCACCTCTCAGGAAGGTAGAGCACCTACACTGACATACTTTTTGCCTTCCTCTGCAGCATGGAGCACAGGTCACTTGCAGGTTTAAACTAGTGTAAATGGTTCGTTCATTTGTAACTTGAAGTCTTTAAACCATGGTTTGCAGACTTCAGTAACTCAGCCAGAGGTTAGGGGTCTATTCCAGGAATGGGTGGGTGAGGTTCTGTGGCCTGCAATGTTCAGGAGGTCAGACTAGATGATCTTGCTGGTCCCTTCTGAATTTATAAACTATAAGTCTGTTCTGTAAATCTGAAAGTCCAAACTCTGCTAGTGATCCATGGAAGTTCAGTTTGGTACCATATGATTGAATTTAATTTCTCAGCTTTATTAAAAAAAAAATTTTTTTTTAAAGCATCTAAGGAGCATTGAGTTCTTGACTTTGCAACCTTAAGAGTTAGGAAATGCCAGATTTCAAGTCATACAGGTGGCTTTAATTTGGCTCCCTTGTGCAGATGCATGTTGTCTTAATGACATGATCGCTTCAGTGCACAGAATGGATGGTCTCTGGGAATGAATCAGGGTTGTTTGGTGTGTGATTTTTTTGATAGGTGTAACGTTTACTGGTTTAATTCCTTGGATCACTCCTAGAATCTTTATTAAAACTGAACATAGACCCACGACTTCCTCACCCTATACCTCGTCTGGACAGAAACCATTAACTCTGCCAGAACATGAGTTTCTTCTTACCCTTTCAGAGTGATTAGGAGACTACCAAACTGATTATTTGTAGCAGTCAGTAGGATGTGAAATGTAATCTCAAATTATGATTAGGAGGATAATAGCATTGCAGTTACACAGCAAATGCTAATGTTCTATCTCTCTAACAGAGTCCTGGAGGAAGGAAGTAGCCGATGTACCCCAAGGAGTGGTTCAAGACCAATTAACAAAAGGGGGTAGCCTTTTCCAGCTGGCTAACAAAGAATTTGAAGGCAGTGAGGTATACATTCATAGTTGGATAGCTGTATCTGCATAACGTGATCACACAGATGTGTTGAATGTTTTCTGATGTATAGATTAAAATACTTAGTTAAGCCTCAAATTTACTACTTAAACCTTCATAAATAACTTTAATCTTAAATATGACTTTGTTCCTGTGTGAATAACACCGGGATACTGATTCTTGCTACAGCTTTGTAGTAATATTAGTTAGGGTGTGCTAGTTCAGGGATAAAGGAGTTTTCAGCAGCAGGCCATATTGGGGCCCCTACTTACAGCAAGACCTGCTCTGCTTGTGATAAAAACCTTTACCATTCCCCAGACTGCTTCCCACTTCTGATACTTTTCAGCTTGACCATTGAATCAGGAATTGACAGTGGTGGTAAATCAGGTGGGTGCAATATTTGTGTGGCATGAAAAACAACAGGACCAGTGACTGTGGGAGAACAATTCAGTGGTTAGTCAGAACAGGTTGGTACATCAGGGTAGCAGAGAGGGAGTTGATCTTGTGTTGGTGCCAAAGAGAGGACAGTATTGGCAATATTGGAAAGGATGGGGTATGTATATATAAAGTTATAAACACATGGGTTACACCAGCCATCTCCCTGGAGAATGACTATCCGACAATCATGGTTATAACTTAAACTGCTTCCCAGGGTTACCTAGAACTGACTAAAATCAAATTAACAATGAAAGTGTGGCTAAAATGCCCTTTGTAAGACTGTAAGCATCTGGAGCATGCCATCCTGTGAAGTATTTCTCTAATTCACAGGTGCAGATGTATTCTCTCTAGCTGGGCAATTATGGCTTAATATGGATACAGCATGCTTTTTTATACCAATGGCTTACATTTTTAATAACGAAGAAGCAAAAATAGCTTCAGCAGCAATAAATGTTTTCCATGTTCTATTCTGATTTAAGATGAATTACATTACAAAATTACTGCTAGTCAATTGATTCCCAGATAATAAATAAAATAAGACCTGTTTTCTAGGTGTTAACACTTTAAATAGTCATCTGAGTTAACATTTTAAACTTTTACACTGCTAGCTAAAGCATCTAAGGAGGAAGAATATTAACTACACAACTTACTATGAATGGTGTCATTGTGGCATATCAAGTAAAAAGAGCATGAACTAATTTTTTCCAATTTGACCCTGTCCAGAAACTGGAGGATGTTGGATGAG